GGCTTCAGGGTTTAGGGCTCTAGGGCATGTTGTTACTTACTAACCGCCTTCGTTCTCGGGTTAGTAGTACCTAGCCTCTTAGCATTGAATTAAGCCAGTGTCATTATAGGGTTTAGGGTTTAGGGGTTACGGTTTGAGGGTTTATATTGTTCCTTCTTCTGTAAGTTAAGCTGCTTGTTCATTTGCTTAGACTATTGGGTTGCTGGGAAGGGACTTTAATTAAGTTGGTAGAATCAGGAAACTCTACAATTTACTGCATATTCCCATTAAAGTAATAAGCCCTAGATCCTAAACCCTCAAAGGAACCATGTAGATCCCTTGAAGGAATCGTTTTACATCCCTTAAAGGAACCCACATAGCACCCCAGACTAGTCGCGACACTTCACGTTCAGATCCCAAAGCCGCAACCATGAGCCCTAATACCCCCCAAAAAAACGGGATACTTCATGAGTGAGATTAAGGAATAGCCGTTCAGTTAACGATTTGGGGTTTAGGAATTAGGGNNCCAGGGAGCCCAGTACCCCTTAATTAAGGAACATGCCTTAAACATATAAGGAGCTTGATACTATGATGTAAGCTACATTCCTTAGCTAAGTGGTGTTGGGCTCTCTTCTTATTCAACCCGAAGTCCCGAAAATGGGATTCAGGGCCTAGGGTTTAGACGTTTGAGGTTTAGGGTTTGGGGTCTAAGCCCCAGCCGCAGAAATCTAAACCTCAAGCCCTATCTTAAAGCCGAGCCTCTACCGTCGTGGTGCCCGGCGTACTGGCTAAATTAAGGGTTCCCTGATAAAAAGCATTCAAAAAGGGACCCCGATTTAGAACTAACCATACACAGCGTGTAGTGCAGTGGTTTACCCAGAGAGCCCAATACCCCTTAATTAAGGAATATACCTTAAATCATAATATTAAGCCCCTTATAATTTAAGGTATATTCATTAATTAAGGGTTATTGGGCTACCCCTAAACTCTAAACCCTAAACCCTAAACCTAAACCCCTAAACCCCTAAACCCTAAACCCTAAACCCTTACAGTACCCTTATAGACCCCTTTTTATAACCCCGTGGTTTAGGGCTTGAGCCAGGTCTACTGGCTCATGCGCCTGCACGGCGATGGCCTTCAATCCTTCGTCTACGGCGTTGGGGCAGCCTGGGCCTCTCTGGTTTAGGGTTCCTTTAAGGGTTCCTTTAAGGGATCTATAGGGTTTAGGGAGTTTAGGGTTTAGGGGTTCTTGAAGGGTTTAGGGTTTTAGGGCTTAGGGGTTTGGGGTTTAGGGTTTAGGGTTTAGGGGCTCTGACTGGGTCGGGCGGTTGTATCGGGTGTCATAGTCATATTAATGTAGTGTTAGGTGTTTTTTTTGAGGCTTAAGGGTGTAGGGTGTGGGGTTTAAGGGTTGTGGGATGTTTTAACGGTTTAGAAGGCGCATGAACACCAACGTGTTGAAGCCTACGTCCATGTAGATGGATGGGCTTCACAGGTGGCGAAATTGAGCTGATGATGTTGGCACAGTGGTTCTCGATTTTAACCCACGCCCTAGAACCTTAAAGCCCTAAACCGCAAACTTTAAGCCCTAATACCTAAATCCTAAACCCTCCCTGGACCTATTTTAAAGTTCTAGAGACCACCACAAGAAGCCCTAAAACAGGCATGTTGTTTTGGCTACAGGTACTTGGAGGGTGGGGGTACTTAGTAAGTAGGTAATAGCTAGAGTTAGTTATAAGTACCCTAAAAGGGATCCTACTTCGGGTTATGATACTTATAAGTCTACACAAACTAGTTAATTACAAAGTCTCCCGGCCTTCCTTATAGAACCCTTGTAGATCCCTTGAAGGATCCCCTTAAGGAGCCCTTTCAGGACGAAGCCACATCAGTCTGAACATCTCCATCAACCGGATGTGGCCATTACCCCCCGAAACCCTGAACTCAACTTTAACCCCACATATCATACCTTTTTGGGGCTCCTTTTCCAGAAAGCGATAGGTGTTTGAAGTTCCGGGCAACTCTAAAGGGTTCATAATAAGAACCTACAAGAAGTAGGTTATGGTAGTTTGAGGTAAACCCTAAACCCCGAACCCGAAACCCTAAACCCCCAAACCCTAAACCCTTTTTGGGAACCCTTAAACCCCAAACCCTAAACCCTTTTTAACCGTAAACCCTAAACCCTAACCCCCCCCCCCCAAAAAAAAATAATATAAATAGATAATAATAAAATAAACCTTGGACCCTGAAGTTCCAAGTTGCCGAGGATTGGAAGCCGTTGATGCACCACAGCGAGGTGCCGGTCAGGACTCCACGGCGACGAACACGGCTTAGGGCTTAGGGCTTAGGGTTTTAGGGTTTTAGGGCTTTAGGGTGTGGGGTCTTAGGGTTTTCGAGGGCTTGAAGAGTTTAGGGCTTTTTTGGTTTAGGGTTTAGGGATTTTAAGGTTAAAAAGGGTTTAGGGGTGTAGGGCTTAGGGTTCCTAGGGTTTTGGGTTTTAAATTTTAGGGTTTCTAAGTTTAGGGTTTTTGGCGGTGTAGAGGTGTTGGTTTCAAGTATTAGGGCTTTAGGCCTATGGGTCCAGCAAATGTTTTGATTGCCATTGGTTCTTGTCATGATGTTGTTACATACCAGCGATACTCTTTAATGGTAGAGTGGGTCGGCTTTAACCTTTGTCGGGAGTTATAACCTCCTTTAAACTTTATTTCCCCTAGGCTGCTGGACAACTATAACTACGACTACCTGCAAGACTAAACCTAAACCCCTGGCCTTAATGTACTGTTTTCTCAGATCACCTGCTTGCCTGGACACTGAAGCTTGCCACCTGTCACCCTAAAACCGGAACCCCGCCGCCCTGAACCTGAGGGTTTAGGGTCTAGGGAAGGTGAGATTTACCCGAAACCCTAAACCCTGAACCCTAAACGCTGAACCCTGATGCCTAAATCCTGAACCCTAAACCCTAAACCCTGATGCCTAAACCCTGAACCCTAAACCCTAAACCCTGATGCTTAAACCCCGAACCCTGATGCCTAAACCCTGAACCCTAAACCCTGAACCCCAGTCCTTCCACACCGAAGCTCTACACGCTTCTACTCGCCCACGCTGCTGCTTACATCAACTGGTTTGGGGTTTAGGATTTAGGTTGATGGTTTAGGGTTTAGGATTTAGGTTGATGGTTTAGGGCTTAGGGTTAGGGTTTAGGGTTTAGGGTTTAGGTTTAGGGTTTAGGGTTTAGTGTTTAAGGTTCACCTCTGTTTATGCCTAGTGGCATTGTCATCACAGAAGGATAATACTTCAAAACATACAATCACCAGGCTTGGTAACATTCCTGAGGAGCCCTATATTTTATACGCACCAAGAACCCAACTCGGAATGCAAAGGCCCTAAACCCCAAACCCTAAACCCTAGGCCCAAAACCCTATAAAACTCTTCTTGTGCACAGGAGCTCCGATGATCTCCGCAGGCGTCAGGCCTTTTACACTTCCGCCGGGGCCCCGGTGACGGTTTGGGGTTCGGGGTCTAGGGGTCAAGGGGACCTCTTTTTCTCAAAAAAGCAGCAGTTTTAGGGCAAGTAAAGGTTGATTTATAAGACTTTGAGCCCCCTTTAAGGCAATAAAAGTCAGTAGAGTAGGCGGAGATCTCGGGTTTCTCTAAAGTACGGTCCCTTTCAAGGTCCCTATCATTATTATACGAGCGACGCCTGTATCGGGACCCCAGCAGAAACTGGCCACATGTGTAAGGCTTTGTAGCACGCTGCGAAGACAACTGAAACGCCGCGAAGCTCTTTGTAAAGTCAGCATAAACCCTTCTGAATTCTCACGCAGTCGAGAGATATCATTTAAGGGCCCACGCCCTAAACGCTTAGCGGGCTAGGCCCTTTTGGTGGTTCTCCAGGCTGTTCGGACTTTGATTGCAGTTCCTTTGGCAGCCACAGGGTTGTAGGGCTTAGGGTCAAGACTTACTTAGGATTTGGTGGTTTAGGTTCAACTTTCTTTTTCGAGATAGATACACAATGAACTCGACCTCGTAGTTCTTGAAGTACCATGCGGCTGGCGGCACGCCTCTAAACTCTTCTCCTGAATCCTCAAGCCACTTGAACCTTAAAACCCTAAGCTCCGAACCCCAATCTGAACCCAATCCTCAACTCTCTAGGCCCTAGTTTAAACCTTGTGATAAGACCTCGACTCTCTGTGCCCTCAACATGCCTAAACCCCTAATCCTAGCTAGACCCGAATCCCTCGACCCTAAGCCTCTGATTCAAGCTGGACATGGCTCAGATTGCTACTACGACTAGCTACGGTTCCTTCTTAGTGTGATGGTACGAAATATCTTAAAGCATTACCCCTAAGAACCCGCAGGTGGACATGGCACAGATTGGTAAAGTCCTGGTCTCGGCGGGCCTCTTCCAAGGTGCTCACAAGTTCACAGCCTCCAAGTTTTCAGGGCTTAGGGTTTGGGGTTTAGGGCTTAGGGGGCAGAGTGGGGGGGGGGGGCTGCAAGTTCAGGCTATTCATGACTTAGTTGCAAGTTGTAAGTGCGATTTTGTCCATGGCTAGTCCCCTTCCCTAGGGATGAGGCCTTTAAACCCATGAATCTGCACCCCAACACCCCGACGCCGCTTACATAACCCGACCTAGACCCAGTCGAACCGAGAGTTTGAATATTAACTATTCCTAGGTAGTATTAGGGAGACCCCTTAAAGGGGGCCCTTCTCAACCCTACTTGTAGCTCTCTTAAAGGGAACCTTTTTTGAGAGGGTCTATATTCCACAGGGTCCCCTAATCCTAAGTCCCAACAAGTCTCGACCCCAGGATATAATTTAAGGGCCTTACCATGACGTATGCTCTGGTGAAGGGTCTCGGACCCAGGGGCGTATTTGTAGCAGTATCCCGCCCGTAGTCCAAGCCCCTAAGCCCAAAATCCCAAAGCCTTATTCAAGTTTTTCAAGCCTTTGCATTATGCCCAGCCCTGAAGGGTAAACGACCCCTTAACCCTAAACCCTGTAAAACCAAACCCCCCCCAAACAAAAACAAAGCAACAAAAAACCAGCCCTCAGATAATACCTTGGGAAGCCTGCAGCAAGTTAGAGCTGACTGCTTAGACCTCTACTGCTTTGCTTCTGTGTGGTTTAGGGTTTAGGGTGTAGGGTTTAGGGGGCTTCTGTTTTACCCTAAACCCTATAAACCCTATAAGCCCTATAAACCCTACAAGCCCTATAAACCCTATAAGCCCTACAAACCCTATAAGCCCTATAAGCCCTATAATCCCCACAAGCCCTATAAACCTTATAAGCCCTATAAACCCTACAAGCCCTATAAACCCTATAAGCCCTATAAACCCTACAAGCCCTATAAACCCTATAAGCCCTATAAACCCTCTAAGCCCTATAGGTTTGGGGTTTGGACGGTTTGGGGCTCCCTGAACCCAAAACCCTGAAGTTCGGGCTTAGGTCCGGGTTTAGGGTTTAGGGTTTAGGGTTTAAGGTCCTTCGTGGCTCGAGAGTTGAGTGTGAAGACTTGCGTCCGTTGTTTGTTTTGTCAGCCCTGGGTTACTTTATAGGGTTTAGGGATTAGGGCCTAGCGATTAGGGTCTAGGGATTAGGGCTTAGGGGTTTGGGATTAGGGTTTACAGATTAGGGCTTAGGTATTAGGGTTTCGGGGGATTTCGGGTCTGAGGCTTCATCGGTAGAAGTGGCGGGGGTTTGCACAGAGTTGGGAGGTGAAGCCTGGAGCTTCCAAGTTTAGTTTGTGTGCGACGGTTTCGGGCTTAGGGTCTAGGGTTGAGCCGGAAAAATTACCAATTGTCCAGTATTTTTTAGGGTAGATACTTCTCAGGGCTCCTGTTTTTGGTGTACTATAACCGACACTAAAACCCTATTCTGCCTTTTACGGCCCCTACGTTGTCAGGATCTCCGCACAGCCCGTGTAATGTCACACGATGATATACACCAAAGCCACTCTTTCATTGTTAAAACCCTAAACCCTAAGCCCTAAACCCTAAGCCCTAAACCCTAAACCCTAAACCCTAAACCCTAAACCGTATCAAGGCACTTGCGCTAGTCTTCATCAAGGCTTGAGGTTGCGAGCCTCCGAAACCCACAGACGAAAGCCTAAACCCCCCAAAGGCCTTAAACGGCGAAAAATCCGAAACTCAAAATCTCAGACCCACAAAAAAATCGGAATATCCCAAACTGGGGCTTTGGGGTTTAGGCTTTAGGGGTTTAGGGTTTAGGCCTTATGGGTTTGGGAGCTTAAATAGGGTTCAGGGGTTTAGGATTTTAGGGTTTATGGGTTTCGGGGCTTTGGGTTTAGGCTTGAGGGGTTTAGGGCTTTTGGGCGATCGTAGAAGTTGAGGAGGTCGGGCCTGCGGCAACAGGATGCCCCAAGCCCTTTGTTCTACCACAGCATTATCTTCGACGGGCCCTATATATATCTTGAACCAGACTGCCAGTGAGAGGTACCCTACCAAGAAGTAGGTTTGGATAGGAGCGAATGTCACAAAAGGTAACCTTACACCCTAAACCCTAAACCCTAAACCCTAAACCCTAAACCCTGAACCTTAACCGTTCACAACAAGAAGCCCTCGACCGCAAATTCCCTAAGCCCTCAGCCCCGAAGCCTTAAACCCTACACCCAAAAAGACCCTACACTGCAGAGCCTTAAACCTGGGTCATTGTTGGATACAATTTTACATTTTTGGTGTAATGAAACCCTAAATAAGGATTAAAGATCATCATTTTTTAACATGGCCCCAACAGGGAACCGGAAACCCTAAAACCCTGGACACAAAGAAGAGCTTCGCCCTAAATCCATCTCTTTAGCGATCCTTTCTCTGAAAGGTTTAGCGCTTCAGGACCTCATGAAGCTTTAGGGTTTAGGGTCTAGGGTTTAGGTTTTAGGGTTTAGGGTTTAGGTGTGTAGCGCTTGGGGTCTACGCCTTAAGTTCCTTGGGTATCGGGCCGACGGCTAAAAACCATAAACACCCGAAAGAAAAGCATCGTGCAATCCCGAAGAGCCCAATAGCTCCTAATTATGGAATATACCTTACATCATAAGCGGCTTCATATTATGAATTCAACCATATTCCTTAATTGAGTGGGTCTTGGGCTCTCGGGGATAAACATGCAGGCGGCTTCTGCAACGGTGCGAACGATCCTGAGCTTGGGCCTCGGTCGATCCCGGTGACCCGATTTTCCTTTAAGACGCGGGCCCCTTGGTCCCTTCAGGGTAAATCTCTCCTGTATCAGCCCGGATCGCTTTAAGGGTTCCTATATAGGGGTTCTTTAAAGGCTTGCTACAAGTGCTCCCTGCTACAACTTAAGCTAGCTCATTCTTTAATCCCAGAGAGCCCAATACCCCTTGATTAAGGAATATACCTTAAATCATAATACTAAGCCCCTTATAATTTAAGGTATATTCCTTAAGTAACGGATATTGGGCTTTTTGGGTTAAGCTCATTCTTTAACTAAAATTTCTGGACTGCTGTGCGGACGAGTCAGGTGGGGAGCTGGCTTGCGCTTGAGGGGAGTGTACAGGAGGCTTAGGGTTTAGAATTTAGGGTTTAAGGGGTTCAGGGTCTAGGGTTTAGGGCTTAGGGGTTTAGGGGTTTAGGGTTTAGGGTTTAGGGGTTTCGGGGTTTCGGGGTTTAGGGTTTAGGGTTTAGGGTAGGGGCCTTCGTTTCCTTGCGCGATTAGACCCTTGCCCAAAGTGTGCGGTGCAAACCTGGTGCCAATATTTACACAGGAGGAGAGGACCTGAGCTGTGCTTGTGGAGCAGAAGCGACATGGTCTCGAATCCCGCCAGTAGCTGGGGACACTTTTGGACCGGTGTCCTGAATGCGCCAGTGTCCTAAACCCTAAACGTCCTAAACCCTAAACCCTAAACCCTAAACCCTAACCCTTGAATGCGCCAGTACTTGGGGGAAGGCAGTTTTCCTGTGCCTGTGGTCTCCTCGTGCCTCCTGGTCTCCTGGTTGTCAAGACGTCTTGGACGTTGTACGTTGATGATATAAATCCTGCATTACCTTAAGGGCCCTAAACTATGGGAATTTTGGTATGTTCCTTGTAATGGGTAATGCAGGATTTATATCATCAGCCGTAGTGTTCGTCATGGTGCTCCTCGTGGTGGTGCTGATCATGGTCGTCATGGTCGTCGTGGTGCTGTTTCACTGTTTGGTTGGGGATCTTCACTGGTTTAATGGTGGGGGGACGGGTACCTTAGAGGTTTTGGGTTTTGTTCATGATTTAGGAATGTACATAAAGATGGGTTTGGTGAATAGATAGTATGTTGGCTCGAAAGGCATGCTACTGAACGAAAGCATGGCTGCTTGAGTTTTCAATGTGTAGATGCAACGTAGATATACCCAGATGAGTCAGCTGCACATGTGCATGAGCATCAATCCGTGTATATACATGTGTATGTATGTCCAAAGTGATTCTTACCTCAAGGCAGTGCATGCTATCCTGATTCTTGAAGCGTTTTTGCTCAGTTGTTCTGAAACTTTGGTTCAACATGTAGAAGCATCCTTACCTTCATATATACACACCGGGGTCAGACGCCGCAGCGCTTGGAGGCAACCTGCAGGAACTGCGAGGGTCCATCTAAGCCCCGCATTGTGATTGCCTCTGCTAAACCCTAAAAGCCTGAAATCCGGCACTTCGACCCACAACTCCACAACCGACAATACAGCCTGAAATCCGGAACTTCAACCCACAACTCCACAACCGAAACTCTCTGCCCTCAGCTCGACACCCCCACAGACTGAACCCCTAACCCTGGCAGAGGGATGTTGAAATCTGCGGGTAAGCAAAGCTTGCACCCGAACCTCGGTTCCCCCCAGCCTTCGCCCTAAACTCTCTGGTTTAGGGTTTAGGGTTTAGGCTTAGTAGGGAATGGGGGAATGGATCCCTATGATAGTCCCTTAAGGTCCTTTATAGTAGTCCCAATAACCCATTCCCCCATTCCCTACTAAGAACCAGAGAGTAAACCCAGAACTTCAAACATTGTTACTATCACGATTACCATTACTCTCATTATACTCGTACTCATACAATTAGTTACTATTGATTACTATAGTAACGCTATTGCTACATTCTTACATCCCCAAACTCTAAACCTTAGACCCTAAACTTCGCATGGCAGGAGAACTTTGGCACTCTTGGTCTTGACGGCCATCCACGACATCATGAAGGCCCCTTGAAGTTTTAGCGGTTAGGGTTTAGGGTCTAGGGTTTAGGGTTTAGGGTTAGGAGTTTAGGGCCCCTTGAATTACTGTGTGAGTGGGCGAACTTCCAGCGTTGGCAGCTGCATCCGGCTTCTATGATTCCCAAAGCCTCCATGTACCCATATAGTATACACTTAGACCCTAAAGTACCCATATAGGAACCCCTTTAAGGCCTAAGTATATACTATATGGGTCCATGGAGCCTTTGGGATTCAAGACCTTGAATCTTGAGCTTCTTCGTCGATGCTTCTTCGATGGAGAGACTGATAGTAGGGGTTTCGACAGACCACTCAAACCTAAACCCTAAAACCTCTAAACCCTAAACCCTAACTCCTAATCCCTAAACCCTAAACCCTAAAACCCCTAAACCCTAAACCCTAAACGCCCTAAACCCTAAAAACCCTAAACCCTAAAACGAGAAGGGCGCGCAAGCACAGATGCTTTGACCTGGGGCTGAAAAAGAGTATAGCGCAGGCACACTCATTTGGGTTCAGGGTTCGGGCTTAGGGTTTAGGGTTTAGGGGTTTAGGGTTCGGGTTTAGGGATTGTGGGTTTAGGGTTTAGGGTTTAGGGGTTGTGGGTTTAGGGTTTTGGTGTTTTGGGGCTTAGGGTTTAGGGGTTTAGGGTTTAGGGGTTTGGGGAAATGGGCTTCTACAAACAGGATCCACGAGCAGGCATGGATAGTTTCATCCTTGGTTTAAGAGTTGACACTAGGACTTAGGCACTGCAACCTAGATTGTTCTGTAACTCCAGCAAGCCCCACCTTAACCCTAAGCCACCAAAAAACACAGGAATTCAGAGAATATCTACAAACTGTTAAGACGTCGGTCTCGACAGGGAAAGGGAAACCTCGAAATCCACACCAGGTGAACAGCTTGCTCCCGGTGGTCACGGAAGAGAGTGGGCCTTTCGAGAAGCACAAGGTCCTTTGGTGCCTGGACTTGCGGGTTTGGGATTTTTTAGTTTCATAGAATGAAACCCGATCTTATGCGGCAGACAAGGTTTTTAGAACGGTGTGAATGAGTCGTATAGGTATTGTATGAGGGTTTATTGTGCTTATGTCGATTATCCATAAAGGGTTACGTAGCGACCTTCAAATGCCTGAAAGCACAACTGTATTCCTAGAAACCGTAAAGCCCTAAACCCAAAATCCCTGAAGCCTCAACCTTGAAACCCCCCAAAAATTGAACCCGAAACCCTAAACCCTAAACCCCTAAACCCCTAAACCCTAAACCCCTAAAACCTAAACCCCTAAAACCTAAACCCCTAAACCCTAAACCCCCAAACCCCAAACCCCAAACCGTTGAACCCTAAATCTACAGATTCCCTTCCTCCGGGATCTTAAATAGGACCAGCGACTATCACTCCTATGCAGACACGGATCCACTTCCCCTTGAGGCAGGCTTAAGTTCAAGTATGGGGTTTACTACTTGGAGGATCGGGGGACTTAGTAACTAGATATAAACTAGAGTTATAAGTGGCTTAAATGGGATCCTAATTGGGGTTATGATACTTATAAGATAATAAAATAACCACTTACTAAGTCCCCCGACCCTCCAAGTAGTACGTAGCTATCACAAAAGACCACCCCGAATATGCACAGTCCGCACGAGCCTTAAATCCTACTATCAGCACTTGAACTCTTGCAGGCGTAAACTTTAGGTAGTTTGATGCGTCAAAGCCACGGCCTAGTCTTCCTAAACCCTGAGACTTCGGAACTCAAGTTTGAGGGTTTAGGGTTTAGGGCTTAGTTGCGCAGTTTCATGTGGTGTTCAGGGCTTTCATGGCATAAGGGCTTGGGGGTTTGGGGGCTTCAAGGCCCCACCCAGTCTTTCTGCTCTTCGGGGGCGCACGCAAAGATATGCGTTCATCGTGGAAAAGCTGGTCAGAGTGGGCATGTCGGTATCTGAGGTAAGTACCTTTACATTGTGCTCGCAAAGTGGGTTTCCAAACTGCGCATCAGCCGATCAGCTGGTCGGCTCGTCGGGTTTAGGGGTTTAGGGTTTAGGGGTTGAGGGGTTTAGGGTTTAGAGGTTTAGGGATGTTTTGGGGTTTAGGGGTTTAGGGGTTTAGGGGTTTAGGGGTTTAGGGTTAAGGGTTTAGGGTTGATTGGCTGGTCGGCTGATTGGCTGACCTGCTGATGCACGGTTTTGGGCCCAACAGCCACGCACACTGTACTTGTATGGCTGCCAGGTTGGCGAAGTGATCTACAACCACGATACGGCGCTCGGGCGCCTGCAGCTGACTTCTGTGTGCTTTTCTTTCGGGGAGGAGGGCGTCTGCACAAGGAGTCCTTTTTGAGGCATTCGGGCAAATACTCCACAAACACTGACGTTGGAACTTCTGAGATTATACTTGGCAGGTCCCTTTTAGGGTACTTATAGCTCTACTCATTACCTACTTGCTAAGTCCCCCGACCCTCCAAGTAGGCAGGCTTCTGCAGGCCAAGCACTTTGTAAGCGCTGTCCGAACCGGCTGTCCGAACCGTAAACCCTAAGACCAAACAAAGCCGGAGATAGGTATGTAGTTCGCTAAATTAACATCCCGTCTATAGGAGGCTTATCACAAGAGGGGCGAAAAACCAAGAACCGCTCTACATGTTAAATGTCCCTAAATCTTAAACCCTAAACCCCAATAGGTTATAAGTAAGGTAGCCCAAATTATTACGCTAGGCTCCGGTCCAGCGCCCTGACCCGGGGGAGGGGGAGGGGGGCTGGGGATTAGGGGTCGGGGGTGAGGGGGGGGGCTAATGATGTGATTCCTGTGGTCTTTCTCCTGTGTTCTTGTTGTCTTGAGAGGTGCGAGGGAGAGGGGGGCGAGGGGGGGACTAATGACGTTCTTGGTTCGTGCTTCCTCGCGGGGTTCTTCCTTCGTGATTCCTGTGTTCTTGTTCCCGTGCTCTAGCCTTCTTGAATTTTAAAGCACATGCTCTGAGCCCGGACACCTTTGGGAAGAAGATTCCGAGGTTGGGTTTAGACTTTAGGATGTAGGGTTTAGGCTTGAGGCTTTAAGGCACTAGGGTGTAGGGTGTGGGGTTATGGAGAGGTCTAGACAGACCCTGGGGGTTTTAGGGTTGTGGATGGTGCCAGCTTGAAAAAAGTATGCCATGTTCCTTTGTGTGCTTTGTCCGATGCCCTGAATGCCTGAATCGTTTTGGCAACACCTGTTGAATTCTTGTTCTTGACTACGTAGTGTTTCGGATACTCTGCTTTGCAGATTCTTTAAGTTGTGACCCAATACCCAATTCCAGAAGCATCTTTATCGGCTTCGTCACGCGCCAGGTGGGTGCTGCAATTTCCCCAAACCTTAACCCCTAAGCCCTAAACCCTAAATGCCAGGTACGTGCTGCAATGGATGCCCTCGGTGCTCCCCTCCTATGCGGGACTCCCCGAGGTGCTACGAGATGGGCAAGAGCAGGGTTTCGGGTCAGGGAGATTAGGAGAGGGTTTTAAACGTTCAAGGAGCTTAGTATTGGTAGCAGTAAGTAACTCGTAAGATTATAGTTAGGATAGCCCCACTTTCCCCTGAGCCCACAAGAAACCTAAGTTCAGGAAACCCCTACTTGGTCCACCCCAAACCCTGAAAGCCTTAATCCCTAGATTCTATAAATCCTAAACCCTAAGCACTTCGCTCCAAACCTGTTCCTCGGGGTCGGTAGTGCTTGAAGAACTACTTCCCCGAAGTGCAGAAGTGCCGACCAAACTACAGTCTTCATAACTAACATAGGCAATAGGGGTATGTTGTAGCATAATGATGGTATAATTGTATAGGGAGCTCGAACGACTTTCATTAGTAATTACGGAGGCTCTGTATAACAAGGGCTGTCCAGGTTTTCTACAAGTTTACAAGGGTTTTGCAAAGATGTGTAGGGTTACACAAGGGTTTTGGCAGAGTTTTCTTTGTATTTCTGGATGAATGAGGATGAGACGAATCTATCAAACATCCCCCGGCCATGCAGTCTGGGTTTACTAAGGGACTGGGTTACAGATTCCAGAATACTTGATCAAAGCCGAAGCTGTGTCAGTTTAGGACGAAGTAAGAACCCCCACAGCCGGAGGTTTCCGAGTTTCGGCGTGTAGGGTTTAGGGCGTGGTGCTCGGAGGTGGCCCTTTAAGCTTTTCATCTTTTTGGGGTTCGCAGAAGCTGATCCTTCTCTCCGGGACGCTGGAAGCAAGCAAAGTCGCACACCAGCACCCCCGAGTCTGAACGGAGTTTATGGAGGTTTCCGAAAATAGGGGACCCTAATATAGTGCCCTAAATAGTAGGATCCTTATTATAAGGACCCCAAAATAAGGTACCCCTTATTTTCGGATACTCCCATATTCCCCAACTTTCCGGCTTCTTGAGCTGACACTGTGATGCATCGCCACGTATTGCCGGGCAGGTTGCTGGATCATGACATGCCTGATGCTTGCCAGCTTAGGACATATAACCCTAAACCCTAAACCCCAAAACCCTAAACCGATCGTATAATCAAAGTGCCTGAAGCATGCTGTACTATGCGCCAGCCCTTCACTGTACATGACCGCTTGTCATAGAAAGCTAGAGCATAAAAGGTTCAAGCTCAAGCGAACCTGGAAATATGATTACTGCAGAAGACATCTTGCAGCCGATCGCAGTAATCGTAATGTATCAGGTACTATTTCGATAGATTCCACACCATCTGCCAAAAGTCCAAGTTCCACATCGCGCCGTTAAGGCATCTTTGGGACCTTCCCCGCCCTCCCCCCTCTCCGGATGCAAAGCTGCAAGCATGCAACAGGCACAGCGTGAATCTGTGAAGTTTACACAATTCGATTCTTGGCAGCAGGTGAGTTGCAAGGCCCACGTAGCTGTAATGGTGAACAGAGATTCCGGCAGCTTTCTTTTGGTGAAGGGTCCTCGACTTCGGAGATATCCCAGTTGGACCCTAAAGCTTATAAGAACCCGAAACTAGAAACACCAAACGATCTCTTAAACCAAAAAGCAGCTGAAAGCCCAGATGCCTAAGCCGGAGATCCGTTGGAAGCTGGTCAGAGAGAATACAGGGGTCCGAGTGCTTAGAATAGGTTTTCCGGTTTATTCCGGTTTCATATACAGTACTGCAAGTAAGGGTCGTTCTCTAAATTTGAGTCACTCTTTAGGTCCCAAAATAGTACACCACCCTGGTAACAAGTTGGGACCCTAAGAGTGACCCTAGTTTAGAAAACAAGCCATATAATATAGTGACTCTAAGCGGGGTAATATTACTAACTGTGCAGTTAAAAGCAGGCCTGAGGAGCTGCGGAATTACTCCCCGGGATTCCTTACTTCTAGTATACTACACCTAGAAAAAACTATACTTCTGATATACCCCCCAAAAACCCTATACTTCTAGTATACTATACCTCCCAAAGAACCAATTCGAAATGATCAATGGCCCACAGAGTATCACGGACCAGGCCCGAAGCTTCGGGGATAAGGAGGTAGGGTTTAAGGGTTTAGGGCTTAGGGCATAAGGGCTTCAGGGCTCTAGGGTTCAGGGCTTACGGGCTTAAGGGTTTAAGGGTTTAAGGGTTTAGGGTTTAAGGTGAAATCTGGGCCCACGGTTTAGGGCATAGATCCTGGCCCCAGAGTTTAGAGTTGAGGTTTTAAATCTTGGGATTCGGGTTTAGGGTTTAGGGCTTAAGGTTAGGGGTGAGATCTTAGTCCAAAGTCGTCGAAGCTATACTGCAACTTCAGCGTAGCAAGACAAGGAGCACCAGTCGCAAAAAGAGTAGCAGCGGTGCCCTGAATGACCAGAATAACTGCAATCAGGAGGACAGCAGTAGTAAACCCTAAACCCTAAACCCTAAAGTAATGATGCTAACGGTATATCAGGTCTCCTTTCCTGAACCCTGAACCCTGCTCCCCGACCTTGTAGAAGTGCTTGGGGGCCTACAGAGGAAAGCGGCGAGTCTGCAGAGAACCTCCTCAAGTTTTTTTTTAAGGTTTAGGTCACCAGAACCCTAAGCCCCAAACCCCAAANNCTCAACCCAAAACCCTAAAGTCTAAACCCCTAAACCACTAAACCCTAAACCCTCAATCCGAAGGTCTAGAGCTTCGGGCTGCGGGTTGTGGGCGCAGGGCTTTGGGCTAAAGCCTAAACCCTAAACCCCCAAACCCCGAAGCCCACAAGCCCAAACCCTAGCCCCAAACCCCAAACCCCAAACCCCGAGCCCTAAACCCCTAGACCCTAAACCCCTAAACCCTAAACCCTCCAGCACGGCCGGGCTAAGGACATGGAGTTCAATCTCGGATGGCTGGTTCAAGCCGAGGCCTGGCAGGTTGAATGCAGAAGCGGTTCAGGAGTTAGGGTTTTTAGGGTTTAGGGTTTAGGGGTTTAGGGCTTAGGGTTTAGGGTTTAGGGTTTAAAGTTTAGGGGTTAGGGTGTAGGGGTTAGGGTTTGGGGTTTAGGGTCCTTTAAAAGGGCTCCTTTGAGGGTTTAGGGTTTAGGTTCCTTTAAAAGGGCTCCTTTAAGGTTTAGGGGTTACCTTAACCCCAAAGAACCTACCTTTCTTAAGGACATATATAAAAGGTCATAATAAAGAACCCTACAAAGGTAGGTTCTTTAGGGTCCAGGGGTTCGGGGTTTAGGGTTTAGGGCTTAGGGGTCTAAGGCCTTGCAGCCTTCATCGTTACCTATACTATTCCTGGTTGTTTTAAGCAAAAGATATACTGTTATGTTACCCCCCTTCAAGTCCTTTTCCACCAGGTTCGCAATAGGATTTCTGAGGTTTTATAGGTGTTCATGAGGCTTTGCTGATTTGATAGTGCGTTTAGCCGGCCTTCTCAACAGGACTCTTGAATCAGGTCGCACTATAGGTCCATACCCAGAGAGCCCAATACCCCTTAAGTGAGGAATATACCTTAAACTATCAGGGGCTTAGTATGATTCTTTAAGGTATATTCCTCAATTAAGGGGTTGTGGGCTCTCTGGGTGGAATTGGTGGATGCGCCTTCTTCCGGGCTTCGGGATCTGACAAGCTCCGGACTGCCTGGTCGAATGGTTTAAGGGCCAAAGGCCCCTAAACCCTAAAGCCTAAGCCCTAAACCCCAAACCCCAAACCGAAATTTCAAGCCTGAAAAATCAGTACTGCTGGCCTGCAGGGCTCCGGATGATAAATCTGACGGCAAACCCTCAAACCTCCATTCCCAGAGAGCCCAATACCCCTTGCTTCAGGAATGTACCTTAAATCATAATACTAAGCCCCTGATTATTTAATGTATATTCCTTAAGTAAAGGATATTGGGCTCTGGGGGTTCTGGTTGTGAGAGTCTTCAAGGTCCCTAACATGAGAGCGGTAAGCCGGGGTTGGAGGTTTGAAGGACGAAGACTGCTCCGCGAGATCTCTGCAGTATTCTTGAACAGTTTGGGTCGTCGGACCCTGGCAAATGTAGTGTTTGGGGTTTCGAAAGGTCAAGGGTTAAATAATTAAAGCTGAGGGTCTAGGGCTTAGGGTTGTTGATTTCAAGCTTAGGCCATAAGGCTTTACAGTTAGCCCGATGTTCCTCCGAATCCCGAATCCCAATCTCTAAGGCTTACCCAGAGACACTACAAGCCTAAAGCCGTAACCCCTAAAAAAAACCATCAACCCTAAACTCTGAAACCCTAAAGAGGAGCGCCAGGTGAAGCCCTGAAGAGCCCATGAGCTCGATGGCGATGTAGAGTAATATAGAGCTTTATGGGGAGCTCTCTAAATCTGAGTCCCTTTTAGGATCCTTTTTAAAGGGTGCCGTACTATTTGGGGGATCGAAAAAGGGACCTTAATTTAGAAGAGAAATACCTTTATAAAAACCGCTTGAGGGTTTTGATCACGGGATATGAAAAACATATAGAACCTTATAACCCCGCCCCCCCCCAAAGTGGCACATGTAAGACTGTCATACAAAAACACATCTCTATTGGAGCCGAGACAACCCCCCTAAAACTCTCTTCTTAAGGACATAGGTAAGGAAGCCATAACAAGGAATCCGAAGAAAGTGGGGATACACAGGGGTTTCAAAGAACCCTAAACCTCAAAAGCCCTAGCTAGACCTAAAGCCTGTGAGTTGCAGGCTCCTCCGGGCATGTTGTTCAACCGCTTCAAGCAGATCATCAGGCTGGGCGGCAGGGCTTAGGATGTAGGGTTTAAAGTTTATGGAGATATCGCTTGTAGATTAAAGGCCAACGTTTTAGGTCTCGTTTATTCAGGCCCTGACTTACAAACCCTAAACCCTAAACCCAAACTCCCTAAAGCCTAAACCCCCGAGACCCTAAACCGAAACCCCTAAACCCCTAAACCCGAAACCCCTAAACCCATTCAGTAACAGTTGAGTCATATTCATAATTATGGATCTATAAGGCCCTTAATAGTAGCCCTATTTTAGACTGTTACTGTATGGGGGCAATAATATAGGGGCCTTAATTATTAGAATATGGTTCGGGGGTATATTATACTACAATCATAATAAGGAACCCCGCAAAATCCTATTCTAATTATTAAGGCCCCTACATTACCCAAAGTTGGTGCTTTGGCTTTCATGAGTCGATTGTTCTGGGCAGACGATGCCTCGCTGGTGTCCTCAGTAGACACTCGGAGCCTCCAAAAAACCGCCTTTAGTAAGCAACCTGCCTTATCTCCGGGGGCGGGGGGGGGGGGGGGTT